GGATAATAGTCCGTATACACATACTTAACGGTTAGGAAAATCTCACAAGTAGTAGGCATAATAGTCTCAATTGGTGCATTTGTTGGAAATGTAGGGATGAGGAAAGTATTTGGGAGAGGAGAAGATCTACCCAGGTCAAAGTATTGTACGTAATAGTCTTTGTAGCAGGTGCATTTGTTGTCAAGGGTACTCTAATTATCATTGCTTCATCATCACCATCTGTTCAATTGAATTCAAGGTTCAAGAAAGCGCCTAGGCGTAAGGCAGGTGATAAGACTCTACCTAGCACCTAGCATACGCTTAAGCGTTAGATGTAAATGTACTAAAATATCTCACTTGCCTAAAATCATAAGTTTATGAACCAATATTATCTTGTCTACCTCTCATTTCTAAACCCTCATCAACAACACATGGTAAAGTATAAAAAATAGTGTGGAGAAATGAGAAAGGAAGAAATAGCTGGTAAATAGTGGAGCAGATTCAAAGCAAACAACTGCAAAAAAGCACTGTTGTCAAAACCGAACCGGACATCGATCCGGATTAATAAGAGGTTCAAGGTTTATCGGATAATCGTTGCTTAACCGGTATTAAAAACCGTTCATAAACCGGTTCTAGATTGTAAAAAAGAAGAGAAAAGTATAAAATAAGAATTAAAAAAATCAAAACGCTAACAATAGTGGAAAGTCCGATGTTGGGTCACATTTATTTTCACTTACCTTGTTTGCTTTTCATTATTAATCAATTAAAAAATTGAAAAAAGTAGGCGCCAGCTATATTTCTCCAACCGCCCGTTTTCTTGCTTCCGGGGCCCGGACTTGTGCCCGGGTCCGGTTTTTACCGGTCTGACCGGCCGGTGCGGTCCGGTTTTGATAACAGAGCAAAAAAGAAGAAGAAGCTACTCTAAAAGTGGTGGTCTCTAACTCTAGCATAGCGGCTAGGAACACTCGGGAGTTTAAGAAGGAAAAGGGAGGACGGTCTTGATTTTTCTATAACCTAGTAGCATATCAAAAGGTAGAAAAGAGACAAATTGCCATTATTTAGAGGCGCAACTCAATGCTAACTAGGCACCGCCGAGACCACCATGTGATCGTGATGTTTTGTCCGCAACTTATGACCAAGGCGATGCATTTTCCTTCTGCATTGCGCTTAGGTGAGCTTATGCGAGTGGCTAAACACGATTTTTAGAACCATGACTGAATCAATCCCTGGTGAGATTACTCACCTGTGAGTACATTCTAGTTTCTTTTGGAATGCATTTTTTGTGTGGTAATCCTGCTGCTCTCTAAACCTTCCCAAGTTTCCTTCCCAAAGTCTTTTTTTTTTCTCTCCAAGTAATATCAAAGTACAATAGTTATATCCTCTACCCAAGACCCCAAAACGACAATTAGTAAAGTCATCCTACAAAATCGAAGGACGCTTTGTCTACAGGGGACAACAGCAGGGCTTGTCTTGCCACTCTATGGGCAGCCTAGTTGACAGTCCTCGGGACCGAGCTATAGGGGTGTCAAATGGTTACATGGTAATAACCAAACCAAATAAGTCTAAATTCTATTAACCATGAAATACAATATCATAACCAAACCGTCCAAACTAATACAATAACCAAATTAAAGTTTATTCGGTTTGGTTAATTGGTTAAACAAAATAATCAATATAAGACCACATTATCATTAAGTGAGAAATTTTTTTCAGTTAGTGCATCAATTCGCAATTTATATAATGAACAACACATAACAATCCAAATAATTATAGTTAACCCTTAACCTAAATACATGTAACAAATACAATTATCTTACATTTGACTCTTGAGTGGTTATGCAAAATATTAAGTATGTGTATATAATATATATTAGATATATGGCTAATTATTTAATTGGTTAATTTGGTTTGATTGGTTAGGAGTGCCTGAAACCAAACCAAACCACCTAAACCAAACAAGTTAAATTTTTTAACCAAACCAAACCAATTATCGAAATTAACCAAACCAAATTAGTCAAATACTATTGGTTAAAATGGTTACCACTGTAACCACACCGTTTGAAGTTTGAACACTCCTATCGAACTAAAGTGAATACAAGAAGAATAGTAACATAAAATTGTATTTGCTTAACATAAACTTAAACTGTGATGGGACACACTGTTGAGACACGATAATGTCCGCAATATACTTCTTTCTTTTTGAGTTTAGTGCATACGAGGAACTTCTACAATTGTTTGGATATTGAGTTCTAATGTAGCATTAGCCTTGGTAAGAGGTTGATTCGTAAGTTGCATGTCAATACATCTAAAGCTGAAGAGTGATGTCATTATTAATTCTTCCAGCTTTTGAGAAAAAAAAAAATAAGGGCAATAAACGTGGGCACCGGACCGTGTTGCCGACAGGCTAGCACGGCACGAGTACGGGTACGAAATAAATGGACTAGTCCGGCACGAGCACGAATAATTTATGGGTCGTGTCGGGCCTAACTTTCATGGACACGAGCACATTACTGGCTCGTTTGGATTGAGTATTTGGGGGTGTTATTTGAGGTCAAATAACACAAAATCTGTTATTTGACTCCAAATAACATGTTTGGCTGACAAAATGTGGGATGTGTTATTTGGATGTAGTGTTTTGCCAAATAACAGGTTTGAGATCAAATAACACAAAAAGTGTTGTTTGCCAAATACTTGGGAGGGGGCAGGTATTTACCAAATAACAAGTTTGAGATCAAGTATCACATACCAAATAACAAGTTTTATATTATGTGGTATTTGTGTGGTAATTGGCCCCAAACAACAAGTTTGTCAAATACTCAATCCAAACGACCCCTACGTTATCTAAGTGGGTCGTGTCGGGCCTAATATTTTCGAGACTTTATTGAGTATAAGAACGGACATGGCACGAAAATAATATTTATTTGATAAAAAATAAATATAAAAAGAATTATAGGTTCAAATATTACAAGACACAAGTAGAAAAATAATTATTTGTTGTTGTTAGAAGTGTCATGAAGATATATACGTAGTTACTAACATAAGTAAAAATGGACAAAGAATTAAACAAAGCCAAATCACACTCGCTATACTTCCAATTTTCTTTTCCCCCTTATTTGTTACTTTTCTCAAACATATCGGTTAATACTATCTTCCTCCGTCCAATTTTCACCTTCTTTTTCATTCTCTCTTTTGTTTTTCGTCCTTTTCATTAAACACGAATACGAGCATGACACGAGCACGAATAGGCATGGCACGATTCGAACCGTGCCCAGGCCTGAGCCTGGCCTAGCAAAGTTAACAAATGGGCTTGCATGGCACGACACGGAAACTGACGGGCCGTGCCAAGAACGACACGAAATAAATGGACTCGAAGCGTGCCCGTGTCGTGCCAGTCCAAGCACGGCCCAACGGCCATGTACAGTCACACACATATCTCCGGATGCAGGGCCGACCATTAGTATGTGCTAATAATATGTCCTAGAGTCCAATGCCTCTAATAAGGATGCAATTGTGTTAGACGTTAGGGCTTTCAAGTTTATGTGGATTTGCAACTTGATCTATATAAGTTGTAGTGAAATTTTAGAATAGTGATTTTCTAGGTGCCACTCCTGAAAAAGAAATAGCATCCATGATTTTTAGATTCAATCTATGGTGTGAAATCAATCGTCTCTTCATTACAACAATAATCACACGTAGCTACAAAATCCTTGTCACAAATAAACACTTCGTGGCTAATTCTAACTAATAGCTACAGATATTTCTCTCTGTGGCTTTTAATAAACTGTATAGCCATTGACAAGATTGATCATAGCTGATTGTATCCTTCAGACTCAAATCTCATATACTGTAGCAATTAATACAATTTAGCCATGAATTTTCACTATAATTATTAATTAGTTAATTGGTCTCTTTAGCTACGAGAAGTCACTAATTGTAGCAAAGGTGAAGTGATCTAATTAACTGATATCAAATACAAGTTAATGGAATAGGTTAATCACCATGGTTACTAAGGGTAAATTGGGTATTAAAAAATAAATTGTATTAATTAGTTTTTTAATAAATTTTATTTTAGGTAGTTACAAAAATCTATTAATTACAAGTCTCTCTCTTTCTCTCACTTTCGTAATCTCCAGCCAAATCTCATTCCTTATTTTTCTCAATCTTTTTGCAAAAAAAAAAAAAAAAACACAAAATCACTACCAATTCATTAGACAACCACTACCACTTTGAAAAACATCAATACAATTGCAGAAGTAAATCTATACCATTACATGAAAACTACCAATATAAACAATCTATCAATATAATTATATACCATTTCACAAAAAATCAATACCATTGCAGATTTAATCAATACCAGTACATGCAAATTACTACCAATGCGACAAAAATAATACCAATGCAACAAAATCAATACCAATTCAACAAAAAACAATACCTTTGATGCGAGAGGGTCGGAGATAAAAGGATGACCAGCGTCGCCGATTGCTTTGACGACCTCCGCGGTCCAGATCGCTTGTCCATCGGCTCCTCCCTATTGTCGAGGAGAGAGAGAGAAAGAGGAAGGAGGTGTGAAGGAGGGAGGGGCAGTGGGGGAGGGGGAGGGATGGTTAGGGGAGATAGGGAGGGACGGAGTGGGAGGGGTGGGGTGAGTTGGGGAGGGGAGAGAGGGAGGGAGAGGCGGCCGGCGAGCGTGGGTGGGTGGGAGAGGAGGTTGACGAGCGTGAGTTTGGCTGGAAGGAGGAGAGGGTAGAATTAGGGTTTGTGTATATATAGAATAATTCAGTGTGTTTTGTTTTTTCCAAAATTATCCTTGAGCAATTATAATCGTGAGATTAAAAAAATAGGAAAAGAAAAAAAATGGATGGTAGATATTGATGTAGCCAAGATGGCTACTAGAATTTTAATAACCATTCTAACGCGTTCCTATGATCCGGTTATGCCATATAAATATTGGGACTTAGTCAACGATAGCAAAAGGTTTCATCCATTTTGACACATGTAGAGATAAATAAAAAATAGACAGCACATCGCATTTATCTGATATAACACCCAACGGTTAGAAGCAATATAGGTTTTTTACTTATTTGATACAACTCTTCTAATGTTGGAAGATTTTTTAGGAGAAGAATAGGTAGCCGGGGCCATACAATGTTCAAAGTACAGGCATATTATTCTTAGCATAAGTAACAAACTCAGCTTCTTGTTCCAGTATGACCATCTCTTTTTCATGCAAGGTCAGCCAAACTTCAGCACCATATCCACCGGGGGATTGCAACAAAACGGCCAAATTCGGGATCGGGTTGGGGAATTGAGCCATGGTGACCCAATCAGGTTTTCCCCATCCAAAATCAACATCGTAGAATCCCAGTGCTATCGTGGAAGTTATTGTGAATGGCCTTATTATACTCTCGTTTTTAGCAGCAGCATCTGCGACCGTTGCCGGCTTAAAAAATGCTTCCAGATTCCTCAGATACTCTTCTCTCCCATCTCCGTCTTGTAACTTTTTCATAAGCTCTTTATCAAGTTTCGCAACCGATCCTCTCAATATGCGGACCAGCTCTTGCAGTGTTTTTGTTCCATCATCTAAAGAGTCTTGTTGGTGATCGTTGTGGTACAACGACATAGCCGTCCAGATCATGTTGCCGATCGAGTAATCTGGCCATGGCTCATGCATTCGAGATCGGAGGTTAACCGACATTCCTATGATAAAAAAATGCATAAAATAAAATTAACCAATCAATAACTCGAAGGGTGGGTGGGTAGTGGAAAGCTCATTGACCTTTGTTACATCATCTAAACATTTAAAACGCAAAAATATTGGCATTACCTCCGATTGAGACAACCGATCTGGGTTTTGCCCCGTCTGCCGACGCAGCTCGGGCCGCTGCACTCATCACGCATTTCCACAAAAACCCAGCAACCGCCTCCGTCCGGGTCGGGTCGGGTATCTCAAAGCTCTTCGCTTTGGCTTTCAGCGCGTGAACCGCTTCTTCATCGAATGTGAGCCTCCTCGTTCGGATCTTCCCTCCTTGTCGGGCCACAAAATCCCCTGCGGTTGCGGGGACATCGCCGTGCCGCAGCGGCAGGAGTGACGTGGCAGCGCGATTGTGAGCGTACGCGCTGCCGCCTACTGCCGCCGCCGCCGTTTTCTCCTGGCTCCTGGCGACGGCGGACCAGAGCCTCATGAAATCGGCCAGAGTGGGGCCGTCTACGATCTTGTGCAGCGAGCAGACACCGATTGCGAGGCCGCCGCAGGGGAAAGCGGTGGCCCTGAAGGCGATCTGCGGCACCGATTCGAGGTCCGAGATCCATTCGGCGGGGAAAGGGAGGAACCGCTGGAGCGAGTCGATTTCGATTCGGCTCCTGAGAAAATCAGCCATAGAGGAATCGTTGACCGCGGCGGTAGAGAACGGCACGCCCTCATCGTTGCAATGGACGACGGATTTGGACAACCTGCCGGCGAGTGGGTAGAAGCGCGTGAGGGTCTGGGCGAGTGAGGACTTGAGGGTCTCGAAATTTCCCTCCCCTGCGGGTTTTGATCCCGTGGATCCGGGAGCAGGAAGAAAAAAGAAGATGAGAGGCACATAAATTGGTGGGACTATGTTGTCGAAGAGGGAGAGCTTGAATGTGGCGAGTTCGGCGGGAGTTGGGGAAGACGGTTTGATGGTTTCTGCGGAGGTTAGGTTGATTTTGTGATGATGATGATAATGGTGATTGCTGGAGGTCAGTGATGGTGGTAATAGTACTCTGTGGAGGGACCAAATCGAAGATGATGCAGCTGCAGGCTTCTTCCTCAGAGCAACACGAACCAGTATTGGAAACATGGTTGATGGAATGGTTGTAAGGTAATTCAAGACTCCATGTAAATGGTGGCTCTTTCTTCCCTTACTGTAAAAGAAAATAGTGGCACTTGCTCCCAACTATGCTGCTGCTGCCAGGTCGTTCGAGTTAGACCGGTGTTTCCCGTTTTTGGCCAAATCCCGGCGGACAGCTGGCCCCCGGATAGGATTCCGGGTCCAGGTCGGGTCCGGGGCGAAACTATGCCCTGAAATCATCCGTATATAACAGCGGCTTAGGGTAACCCTACGGGATTTTCTCCATTAGTCGACCTCTGCGGCCGATCAATACTCACCCAAGTATGGCAGAGGCTATCTTCCCCTTGAACCTCCTAACACTGCAATTTAAGTATGCCTCAAACCCTAACAAGGAACACATGCTATATGTACCAGCTGAAGACTATCCTTTAGCACAAAAACCACATTGAAAGAACATTGAGATCAAGTCTCGGGCATCAGACCACACATGCATCATTTCCAATCTTACCCCACTGCTTAAGCTGGTCTTTCGTTGTTAGCAGTGAGTGATTGATCAAGAAAATGGGGGAAATCGGGGTTCAGATTACCAATTTGGGAATTCGAGCTAACAAATTGCTATGTAAGTTTCTACGCTGAGTACAGCAAACCAGAAGAGAAAGTATACAGACTGTCATAGTCGAAACTTAGGATCGCAGAGAAACGAATGGAAGAAATCTGGTTCGTGGAAGCAAAGAGAGATCGAGAGACGATTACGAATTGAAGAAATCTAAGTTTCTACGCTGAGTACAGCAAACCAGAAGAGAAAGTATACAGACTGCCATAGTCAAAACTTAGGATCTCAGAGAAACGAATTGAAGAAATCTGGTTCGTGGAAGCAAAGAGAGATCGAGACGATTACGAATTGAAGAAATCTTGTTCGTGGAAGCAAAGAGAGATCGAGAGACGATACCTTGGGAGCAAATGAGCGCTTACGTCGGGAGTGAAAGGGAAAAGCTGGCAGCGTACTTGGCGAGTATTGATCGGCCCCAGAGGTCGACTAATGGAGAAAATCCCGTAGGGTTACCCTAAGCCGCTGTTATATACGGATGATTTCGGGGCATAGTTTCGCCCCGGACCCGACCTGGACCCGGAATCCTATCCGGGCGCCAGCTATCCGCCGGGATTTGGCCAAAAACGGGAAACACCGGTCTAACTCGAACGACCTGGCGGTATGCATCTACTGAAGTGTGAAGTTGGAGGAAGTGTGAAGTTGGAGGCACACACACAACTCACACGGCCGTGTGAAGTTGCACTTTGGCCGTGTGGAATTATGCGAGACTTCACACGGCCAGGCTGGGTGAGCTACACGGCCGTGTGAAGTTGCACTTTGGCCGTGTGGAATATTACGAGGCTTCACACGGCCAGGCTAAGTGAGCTACACGGCCAGGCTGGGTGAGCTACACGGCCATGTGAAGTTGCACTTTGGCCCTGTGGAATTCTGCGAGGCTTCACACGGCCAGGCTGGGTGAGCTACACGGCCGTGTGCCCCTGGCTGTGTGGGAAGCATGAAACCCAATTACTCGGGCCGAAAAACTTTTGCGGCCGGTGCACCGCCGGGCCGAAAAAAATTTGCGGCCGGTGCGACGCCCGGCCGAAAAATTCTTTCGGCCCGACGTCGCTCCGGCCGCAAATTTTTTTCGGCCGGCCGACGAACACGTCGCCGGAAAATTTTTTGCCGGCGTGTTCGGCGACCGGCCGAAAAAAATTTGTGGCCGAGGCGTCGCCGGGCCGAAAGAATTTTTCGGCCGGCCGTCGCCCCGACCGCAAATTTTTTTCGGGGAAAATTCAAAATTTGAATTCAAAATTTTTTTTTTTTTTAGTTGGCGGCAAATAGCAATTTGGTTGGCGGCAAATAGCCGTTCACATACCAAAACAGGCGTTAGCATCTTATTCGCTCCCCTTAAATTACAATCTAGGTTGAATATCTTTCGATCAAGATATCTTAATTATCACAAAAAAAAAATAATAAAAAAATCTTTACATATATGTAACAGTTTTCTTTGTGCATCAATCTCCTTACATTTTACTCCCTTCGAAATTGTAGGTGCAAAGCAACATTCTGAACCCTTTCTTTAATAAATAAAAGCTAGGTACGCTTTTTGGTTTCAATTTTCGTTTACTGTATCAATTTTTGTCCTCTTCTGCTGCTGGTTTTAAGACATCTTTCTTCCCTGCTTGGAAAAGGACCCTTCTTCCCTCTCTAGAACAGCCCCCCCAAGCCTCCCCAGCGAAACATCCGTCTTCCCATGCCTCCCCAGCGACCATGCCTCCACAGGGCAGGGCCTCTGCCTTGCTGCTCTTGCTATCTTTACGACTTTACAGCCACACCTGGTCCAAGTTCCCATGTATTCGCTGTTTCGTATACACGCCACCGCTGCCGAATCTCGCTGCATTTGCTCACACACACGCCACCTCCCATCATACACCCCTCCATGCCTGCCTTGGTTGAGGGAAACCATCATGCTTATGGCCTCTGTTCCACCCCTCACACTCCATTTATGCCCCTTTCCCCATAGTTTCATCCTCTCCCCGATTCCAATCTATCCTTTTCCGCAAAAAAACTCCTTTTCGCTCTAACCTCTTCTGCTACCCTAAGTCATGAATCATATCCTGCTATCCAAGCTCTCCTGGACGGACAAATCGCCTGTCCTCAAATTGCACCTCCTTCATTCATGGACGGCTGGAAACCCTGCTCGGCCCGGCGGATTCACGGAGCGCGCAACACTCTGGACGGACGAATTGGTTTGTACTTACTTCTTCCTTTTCGTACTGCCAGACGATTCCTTGGTACTTTCTGATATAGGTCCTTTTCCTAGGGAGTATTGGTGCAGGGCCTTGCCCCGAATCAAATATCGGCCCAGCTCGATGAAGTTCTTGCTGTCGGCACCGTGTACTTCGTGACTAAGTTTTTCCAGCGCAAATCAAGGAAACGTTGGGCGGCCTGCTCCAACGAGCGCGTGCTGAGTTTTACGTCAAACACCTCTTTTGTTCCATCCACCGAAGACAATTCAACCTTCTGTCCCGATAGCTTTGAATTTCGCCAGTTAGAAGACCTACACGCCATCGCTTCACTGAATGAAGCTTTAGTGGGTTCGTTTATGTCCTTTGCTTTTCATTTGTACTAATTTGCCCACTGATTCCTCACCAAATTCTTTACGCAGATGTTGTTGGTCGGCTGGTCTCTGCTACGCCTGTTGGCTATGTACAGAAACAAAATCGGTCCATAAAGAGGCAGACCATTGTAATTCAAAATGAGAGGTACGTTCTCTTTGTTGTTAGTTTGCCCGGTTTCTATGGTCGTGAGCCGCTCTGATGTTTCATGTATTGCTGGCAGAGAAACCTCCCTGTCAGTCACGCTGTGGGAGGAATTTGCAGAGAGGCTGGTACTACCAGACCTCATTCAGATGGATGGTGCCGCACCGGTTATTGTGGCATTTACCAGTCTCAATATTTCAGTTTGGCGTGGTAACATTTCCCTGTTTTTTCTTTGTTCATGATCCTGTCAAGTATGTGCTTTCATTGTCTGCTTCCGATGCATATCATCTTTGAATAGATACCACCTATAGAATACCTTACTACCCACTTTCGTTTATCCGACCGCTTGGTATCCGAGCGTCATTTAGATTGCCGCCTATAGAAGAACATGATAACCACGTTGCTTACTTTGTTACCTCCTCTTGATATAGTACCTCGGTCAGATTGACCTTTGCATCAGAAAGTCCTCTTCATACAAATGCAATCTGCACCCAACTTTTGAGTACTAACTATTTTCTGGATTTTACTATGCTCTTGATGTGCTTGCCAATGCGTATGCAGCGAATAGGCTTGCCGCTTGGTCTTAGTGCCCTTTAGTTGTTTGACCATCAAACATGTGTAGATATGAGCTTACCTTACCTGTGTTACCAGTTGTTGCATGCTATCGACCAACCTCTCTTGAGAAGGAGTTTCTTGCCTTCATCCTCACTACGAACCCACCGTTCTCATGTTCCTTGCTGCTTTGTTTGTAGGGACTGTCAGTGCTTCCAACAGCTCCGCAACTCGCATTGTGATGCTGCCACCAGTACCACAGGCCCAGGCCCTTGCCCTTCAGTACGTATGATCCGTCTATAGTTGTTTGCATTCATGCCGACGCATGTGCACTAAATCCATTCCCACTTACTATGCACAGTTTTGGCAATGCTGCGGGAGCCATCGGTGTCATCCCAACTGAAATTGATACTCCTGAGAAGGCAATGACAGTCTACCGTGAATCCTTTAGGACTATTCCCGAGCTTCAAACCATTCAGTCCACCTCTACCATGGTCAGTGCTTTCTTCACCTGGGAAGTTTCTCTGTGCATTTTAGGCCACTTTTCTACTTAGTAAATGATCACCTGTTTTCATTTCTTTCAAACTACAAGGGGGGGAAATTTCGTTGTACTGGCAAGATCACCGACATAGATATGTCGCGCCCTTGGTGCTACCTAGGATGTTCCATCTGCTGTAAAGCTGCTGTAACGCGTGATGCCCCATTTTGGTGCGACAAATGCGACACTACGGTTCACCCGCATCAGCTCAAACAGTGGTATGCTCATATCATTCACCCGCTCATTATTACCAATTTAATTTAATGCCTTTAATGTCTCGCTAAAATACCTCACACCTCTTCCGTTTTAAATGGCAAGCTTTCGCATCCGGCTCATGGTCCAAGCTGGGTCTGCTTTCGCACCTTTTGTGCTTCTTGGCCAAACTGCAAAAACCCTTTTGGGGGTGTCGGCAAGTGCTCTTTTTGCTGCTGCCCCAGATCGAGGTGGTGGTTACCCTCCAGAGATAGAAAACTTGCTTGCCAAGGAATATACCTTCCTGCTTAACCTCCCTCTAGGCCAGTCTGCGGACCCAATGGACGATTTCTGCGTGTCCGGTGTTGAAAGGGATGAACAGCCCTTCACCCTCGGCAAAAGAACGCATGGACCTCGCTTTGGGAACAAAAATGGGAGTGTCATCGCCACGGTTGCAGAGGTCCCTTCTAGGTCTTTTTCCATCCCTGTGCTAATTTCATTTACTACGTGTCGTGCTACTTCTGACTCATTTTTCTATGCGGCTTTCAAAAACATAATGGCCAAACAATTTTGAACAGCTCTTCCATACCAGCTCTAGAGTCTCAAAGCAAGCGCCTTCGCGACACTGCACCGAGGTATGCCTGCCACTTTTCATTGCTTTGGTCCTCCTTTTTATCAGATACATGATATGGAATGCCATCTTCCCACAGTCCATTCATGTAGTTGCCTTCTTCTTACAACACCTCTACGGTGAACGAAGCTTTTGTTCAGGAAACTGATCAATTCAGGGCCCCTCGACCACTGCAGACGTTAGACATGAGGTTTGTTGATCTGAATGCTCTTGGTAGTTATGTTTGAATGTTCAGAACGCTCTACTTCCCAAGTTATCTACCTGTCACAGTACCGAAATTTATGTTTACCTCACTATGAATGGTGCAGCAAGTTCGTTGGCGGTACAGCCACTGCGGCCTTCAATGCAGTGCTCTCGGCTGTAAATGCACCCTCAACACCTGTTAAGACCTCTGAGAACTTGGGAGCTGCGGAGGTGCTTCCCGATCTAAAGCCAAACGCCTCACCTGGGTATGTATTATTTGGCCTACACTTTGAGGTTGTTGGTCGTGTTCCCTTCATTTTGCCTGCCTTTGCGCAAACACTATGCTTACATCTTAAGATTACCGGACTAAACATATGCGAGTGTTGACAAAATTGCGAGACGGGAAGGAAACAAAAGGGACTTAGGCTGCTCATATAATTTGTTACTTTTCATTGTATGCATCGAAATCAAAAGGGACTTAATTAAATAGACATATTTTAATACATAAAAAGATGATGGATGCTGAGAACATAGCAGCAACCGAAAGCGAACAGAATTTGAAAAATAAACACTTGCATACATGATGCAAGAAAAAGCCTGCTTTGCATAGGCCATGGGATCTGGATACAGATTGCTGCTCTTATCTTTGCCTGAAATTATATTTGTCTCTTTCTAACAATAAACACATGGTTGTCTTGAATTAATGGGAGTCCAACTCTTTACGTTCACCTCTGCAGTCTCTTTCTAACAATAAACACATGGTTGTCTTGAATTAATGTGAGGCCAACTCTTTCCATTCACGTTTGCATCACTGCTACCTGTTCGTTTTGGTCCGTTGCTTGCCCGATGCTTACAGACCTCAGTGGCTATTGATGTTGTGACATGCGTTCAGTTCCATTCCCCCTACATCCCACTAATTAAAATGGTTATTAGTCTGTGTCCCATGCATTTCTCTGCTAATTCTGAAGCTCGGTTTTCTTGCAGGCTAAATAATACGGTGGTCGGGATGCACATTTCCACCCTAGCATGCACGGAAGAGATAAAGGAGCCACCCCGTGACTCTCAAAGCCTGGAGTCGCATCAAGTGCAGCCACAGTAAGTTTTCCCCTTCCTTGCCATAGGTTTTTCCTTACGCTGCACTGCTTACCGTCAATTATTTGTTCTCATCGGGACCTCATTTAATCCTCCTCCCAGAAATTCCGGGGACAATGCTTCACCTTCTGCTGGAATGGGTCATCCCCATATCCATGGAAACTCATTAGCGGTTGCAGATCTGTCGAAAACAGTACCACCATCTATGTTGCCTATTAACCCGTGAATCTCTTTCTTGGCGCATTTTTCACTAAACTTCCTTCCAAAGATGCACGTTTTTTCCTCACTTAATGCAGCTGCTGTTTCCCATTCCCTACAGAATAAATCACCCTCTTGCTAAGGTCAAGATCGAGAAACTGGAATCCTCACTCGGGAACAAAACAAATCCCTCCAAGAACTCTGATGACTTGCCCATCTCCCACCTGAAGTCGAGGACTTCCAGCTCCAAGGGTAAAGCTGTGGTCAAAAAACTCTTCTAGGCATCCAGATATCCTGCTTTTGCCGCCAGTCTTTTGAACCCTCTATCCTTTTGTATTCTGATCGCATCAACCTTTTGCTGGCTCAAGCTGCCTACTATCAGCAGCATGCAAACTGTTTCTAATTTCATGTTTAATGGACGATCTGTTTTCAAGAATGACTGCTTCTCTCTTATCGTCGTTGTAATGGAACCTGATTCTTATGCACTGTGGCAATATTATCAATCTAAGTATTCTGTTTTAACTAATTGCTTGACACGTCTTTGTTCCTATCTTTCGGACACTAATGTCGATCTTATCGCTGCATTCCTACCGCCATTTGGATGTTCCCATGACAATTTTTCGGCTGTGTACAAAAAAAACTCCCCACCTTTTCGCAATGCTGAACCGTGAACCATTTGTACAAATTTGCAGGTCTATAGGGGTTATAGATTATCATACAATTGACAGCATTGTTGTTTACAAAACTTTGTTTCCAAGGCAGTGGTTGGTTGCCCATACTTTGATTGGGTGAGGGTTTGCATAAACACTGACACAAGTTGACCTCTTATTTGTTAGTTTAAGTCAGGCCCACCACTCCCTTAACCTCGCATCACTCTAGGGATCCTTAGACATTACTCCTTTTCTTTCCTACCTCCTGAAACCTAAACCTGTTCTTGCCTCAAGAGTGGTCAAAGTAGATGAATTATAATACATAAGAATCGCCCCAATACATGGACTGTTAGATTCTCACTTTTTCCCTCTTCTGCAGATTTCATATTCTGCTCTCAAGATGCTGAGTCTCCTCTCTCAGGCTGTCTGCCCTCTTTTGTGATCGACAAGTATAAACTGCTAGACATTGATCCTTTGCTGTCATTGGCACAACCTTCTTGACCACAGGTATTAAGTGTTTCTTCCTTCCTTGAAAAGATAACAGTTGCTTTTCTGTTATCTTTTTTTGACATGCTCTATAACTTTGCCCTCCTTTGTTGTCCGAAATTCTGGTTCCATTGTCTGCTGCCGCCTTCCTCTTGCTATGATGCTCCCATAATTTAGTTCTTCTTGCCCTCTCTCTGCCACACGTTCTGTTTCCTGCCTCTCCGTTTTCCCATAGCACAATTTTGCTCTCCTCTCCTCCACCATCACTAATTACAAACCATATGGTACATGGACTGCACGCCAAGTACCTGGATCAAGGAATGAATACGTTTCAGACCCTTCAATGCTATGTTATAGTTTTCCTAATCACCCATTAAATCTGTCGCTATTGTGCAGTATACCAGTTTCCACATCAGTACTATCCGATGACCAAACCACTGCACAAGAAGACTGGTCCATTTGGGTCTCCTTCAATCCAGAAAAGCAACATGGACAAATTGAGCCCAGTGACAGGCTCTTCACCACCCGTCATTACTGATCGAAGGGGAAGGAAGCCCACCTTCACACACCTGATCACTTTAAATCTTTTGTCGGGGGGGGGGGGGGGGGGGGGGGGGGGGGGGGCGTCCCATGGAAATGCCTTGCCAAGTCTCCTCTCATGGCCTGATCTAGAAACTGTTGAACCTCATTCTCATCCAACCAGGAGGAGAAAAATGGGCTCTTCCCGGGGCGATGGAGTTGCACGAAAGCGACGAAAGACAAGCGCCAACTGCGTTGGTTCAGATATTATGATCCAAGAACCATCAGACCACCATGAAACAATATGCTCTAGCTCACCTCCTGCTGCAGTACCTAGGCCCGACCCTTCTAATTGCACGAATCACGCCTCCTCGCGAGGCACCAAAACTCCTGTTGGTGATAAGCTCAGTTCTGGAATTCAGCATGATGCAGCCTTCTGGAAGGACGATATTCTTGATTTTGGTCTTCCAGAATGTGTGTGCCCATACTGTGGAGCTATGTTCTGGTATGTTGAGCGTCTACAACGTCATCGCAAGACCACGATGCCGATATTTTCTCTGTGTTGCAATCACGGTAAGGTTTCGATACCTTTGTTGAGGCAGACCCCACCATATCTACATAGCCTTCTTGATGTTAATGGAGGACCGGAGTCAAAGCACTTTCGGAAAGAGGTACGACCTTATAATGGCATGTTTTCACTGAGCTCCATGGGAGCCAAACTGGATCGCCGAGTCACTAACTCTTCCGGACCATATTCTTTTGTTATCTGTGGAGCAAATTACCATCACATGGGTTCTTTGTTGCCACCAGAAGGGAGGAAAGCCAAATTTTCCCAGCTCTATGTATTTGACACGGATGACGAAGTCGGTGACCGTCTTTCAAATTTTTCATCAACCAACCTTGCTTTGAGGCCTCATATTGTTGATGGTCTGATCAAGATGTTGGATGAAACAAACGAGCTGGTTAAAAGCTTCCGACGGGTAGCTAGGGAGGTTCAAGATCCAGCGAATCATAACCTGCGTCTCAGAATAACAGGTGCCCGAGAAAATAGGGATCGACAGTATGATCTACCTACTGGATCTGATGTGGCAGGACTTATACCCGGAGACTTCAATGCCGAGGATGACGGCAGAGACATCATCATTAACCACCGAGAAGAAGGGCTGCAACGAATTGATAGTCTGAATCCAAAATTCCATGCCCTGCAATTCCCTATTCTTTTCCCATATGGGGAAGATGGTTTCCATTTAGGAATAAAGTGTGATCCTGTTCACAGCTCGCCTAATGCCAAGAGGAAGAATGTTATCGAGCGAGAGTTCCACGCGTTTAGATTGCAACACCGCGAGGCTGAAGGCCAAAGCTTAATGCGAGGGGGGAAAGCTCTTCAACACTACTGCGTCGATGCATTTTCGACCATTGAGCAAAATCGACTTAAATTCCTGCGCCTCAACCAGAAGCTACTGCGTGCTGAACTATATAAGGGCCTTTGTGATGCTTATAGTAAGGGTGACACGACCGGAAAGGGCATTGGTACAATTCTGCCAGCAACGTATACTGGTGGCCCTCGCTACATGAAGCATCAGTATCTTGATGCTATGGCAATTTGCAGGCGCCTTGGAAATCCAGACCTATTTATTACGTTCACTTGCAACGCACAGTGGCCAGAAATCACCAAGGCGTTTGAAAATGTTGTCGGTCTCAAACCAGAAGATAAACCGGATATAGTTGTGCACGTGTTCAGGATCAAGGTGGTTGCTTTGAAGGAACAAATTCACCGGCATCAATTCTTCGGCAAGGCAGTTGCAGGTCAGTACTGAATCTCATACCAGTCCATCTTTTTGAGTTGACAGAATTCATGCCCTCTTATGTATTATTATCTCTTTGCTAATCAATGTTGAGGTTTATGAGATTCGAATGGGTACCTGAAACATCCAGGATGTCATTTAGGGATTGTTTAGGTTAGACAAACTATACATATGAGTTTAGGTGTTGTTAACGGTTGCGGGGAAGTTTGATGTGCACAAAAAACACAACAACTTGAACTCAAACTATGAACCTAGCGTAGTGCCTTTCTTATTTTAAGGTTTGCATATAAAGTTTCGGCTCTCTGGTCTGTACATATGCAGTTCTCCAATTCAAAAGGCTGCTCAATGTAGCCCAAACGAAACCCACTCTCCCTTTTGAATAGGTACTAAAGAGCGAGCAGTAAAGAGTAACTAATGAGGTGGAATGCTTGGTTTTTACGTTTCAATTTCTAGCCATGTAGTACTTGCCATGCATTGATCACTATGTTGGCCAGTATTACAGTAGGTAGCCCGACAAGGAACTTTCTACTAAAAATGCATGCCTTTTCATAACTGTGTCTGTGTTCTTGCTTTAAAATAGATATGCACACAATTGAGTTCCAGAAGCGAGGACTGCCACATGTGCATCTATTGGTATGGCTGTAAGAAAATGACAAGTTAAAAACCACTGAGGCCATTGATGCAACAATATCTGCTGAACTTCCAGATCCAGAGAAGGATCCTGTTGGGTATGCAGCTGTAGCAAAATTCATGTTACATGGACCATGTGGTCAGTCCAATCAAAAATCGCCATGTATGGTAGAAGGAAAGTGCAAGAAATTCTTCCCGAAACCCTTCAACTCCACAACTATGTATGATCACAATGGGTACATTGTGTATCACCGGCGCAATGATGGCCGCACGTTTGAAAGAGGCAGCACCATCCTTGACAATCGTCATGTGGTCCCTTACAACCGCAACCTGCTGGTGATGTTTCAGGCACATATAAATGTTGAAATTTGCCATAAGGGAAGACTCATCAAGTATCTGTTCAAGTATGTGACGAAAGGCCCTGACCGAGCAACCGTTGTTGCTGAAAATTGCCCTGCACAGCGGCCAGCTACCTCGCAGCCTCCGCCACAAGAAGTACGTGACGAGATAAAGCAATTCCTTGACTGTCGTGTGCTGTCCTCATTTGAAGCAATGTGGCGGATTTTTGAATTTCCGATACATGAGAGGTCCCCGTCGGTTGTTTGTCTCCCAGTCCACTTGAAGGATCAACAATCTGTTGCGTATAACCCCGATACATCTCTACAATCAGTTGTGGAGGACCCAGAAAAGGCAAAGACCATGTTGACTGAGTATTTTACTCTTAATCGCATCGACGCACAGGCTAGATCGCTTACATATACTAATATACCTTCTGCCTATACATTTCATCTTCGACCAAAGCATTGGGCTAGGAGAAAACAAGGTTATGTCATTGGTCGTATTGTCTTCATCCCACCGGGAACAACTGATGTGTACTTTCTGCGGATGCTGCTCACAAAAGTAACAGGTGCTACTAGCTTTGAAGATCTCATGACAGTAAACGGCGAAATATGTAAAGACTACAAAGAAGCATGTCTGAGACATGGCTTCTTAATTGATGATGGTGAGCCCGAGGCAACCATGGTGGAGGTCGGCCAATGGGGAATGCCAGCCTTACTCAGATCTCTATTTGTCATGATATTGGTGCATTCGGAAGTTGCTGACCCAAGAAAACTTTTCGAGGCAAATTGGAAACTTTTTGCGGATGATTTCTCCTACCAAACCCGTCGTGGTTTGGAACTCCAACACTTT